TGTGGCAACAACCGCAACATTAATTTTATTTGTAACGTAAACCGTTAAGTTTGAAATATATATCCGTGTGCATGTAAATATGTTAATGTGTGCACGAGTTTAAGTTTGTATTTTAAAGGGAGTTTGTATTTTAAGGGAGTTTGTATTTGAATGCAACATAGGGTTGTATTCACATGCAAACACCCTTAAAATAAAAAAGTGTGGACTGTTTTGGGCCATTAGATTAGAGCAAACGGACGGATTAGATGATTTGAAAGTTAGGAATTAAAGAAACTACGTGTGATTTAAAAAGGGTAATTATGGGAATACAATCACAATATAATTATGGATTATATTTTTTATGGATAATTAGCCGGATTTGAAGAAGTGTAATTACGGTAGAATTTAACTAAGCAATTGGTATCGGACAAAGCTTTTAGAGACGTGAATCAGACATTGCATGGCGTAGAGAAGCGAATGAAGACAATTCTGCGGACATGGAGATGCCTCACTCAGTTAATGAATACGACCAGTTGATCACCATTATGGGACGGCCAAGGTGTGAATTTGTAGGAAATTTGTTTACTGCATGTGGTTTGGAAATTTTGATGGGGGTGGGACTTTGGTCTTTAATATTGTATGCATTCTGAGTAGAAGGGCATGAAAAGGATGACTTTAGGAGGCATGTTTGATCGGAACAGTTGTAGGTTTAAGGGGAAATACAGAATCAAAGAATATTATCTGTGCACAAACAAATTACCTTCAACGCACCATTGTGCGCCTACTGTATTCTGTGTTCGCAACTTGGATATACTGTGTACGTGCACATGTGCTTTTAATTCAATTTGTAGGCTATTTGTTCACTGCATGCGACTTTGGTGTTTAATACTGTGAGTAGAAGGGTATGAATATGATGGCTTTATGAGGCATGTTTGATTGGAATAGTTGTAGGTTTAAGGGGAATTACATAATCAAATAATATTAGCCGTGAACACAGACATTGGCATGAGTGCACCATTGTGTGTCTAGGGTATTCTATGTGCACAACTGTTTTATACAGAGTGCACGTGTGTGTTTTGATTTTTTTTTTTTAAATGTCGTAATAGAAACGGGAGGTGCGCGGACTGACGTAAGGATGTGTGCAAAGTATTATTATGTACTCTGTGTGTAGTATCCGTCAATTTCTATGACCAGTGTTGTACCTACGACAACTGTATTAAGTTTTAGGTCTGCTATTAAATTGTGTGATAATCAATGGCGTGGCTGGTGTGTTCTGCCAAAGCTGACTGTGTGCATAAATGAACATATGTTTGTGCACTAATAAATCAACAATGGTTTCAATGCAGATACAACAATGGTGCACTCAAAATTGTCAAAATGTCATCCCTGGACATTGAATAACTACTACAGCTCTTTCATGTGCAGGAGTAGTTTTTGACCAAAACGTTATTGCTAATTATAAGATCGTGAGTGTAAGTTGGTTGAGGATTGACTATTGACTGAGAAGTAAAAGAAAGAAGGGCCACCATGTTCAAACTAAAGGACAACAGAGTCGTACCAACCAATCTGTGATTGAATCACTACTTGGAGCTACTCCACCAGGAGAAATACACATAAAAGCACCTAGAATTGCGAAGAACAAAGGTAGTAGGAAGAGATTAAAAAGTAACAAAAAAAAAAAGCAGCCGAGCAGAAGTAAAAAGGGGGGAGGAAGTGCCATACATGTGACGACATCGACCACCATGACAACCGCAATTTTTCGGACATATTAGTATTTGCATAGTATATTTCTGTTTTCAAATTTTTGGGACACATGTTTTTGTTTTTTGCGTTGACTAAGTCCAAATTTATTTACAGCGAACGTAGTTGAGATGTTTGAAAATTAATTACATTATGATTAGGTGGACTGTGTGCATTTAGTAATTAAAAAAATGAAGCATGTTCCCCTGGTGCATAATAGTTATGGTAATTAATGGAGTGCAGACATGTATGACGACGTATACAGGTTCAGATGAAAAATACATATGCAGTAAATTAATCGTGTACTGGTGCAGTACACGTACTAATTAATGAAAGCACGCAGCTGTGTCAAGGAAAAAAGGGTGTCATAAATGTGATGCACACAGCTATACTTGTGAGTGCACACATGCACGAAAACGAAAAAGTAATCCACATGCATTAGATTTAGTGCACACAGTTCAGTTCGTTTGTGCACACGGTATTTATGGTTTGTAACATGTGTGCATGAATGTGATTTAGTGGGTGCAAACCTACTTTAATTACGCATTCTGCAATTTGAAGTGTATGGTAAAACTTCCTTGAGTTGGAGGAATGCACAAAATAATGCTCATGTATGCACAAACATTTCTACATTCATGCACGGGTGTGCACCACATGTGCAAACCCACACACACTGCACACAATAGACTACCTATATGCACACAGTGCAACCTAAAGTAATTGGAGAACAAGTAGCCTCCCAGAATGCAAAGGTTGTGCACACAAATAGAATACAGAAGAAACAAGTAAAAATGTTAATTCAAAATATAATACAAGTTGTAAGCGCACACGGTGACATATTAGAATCTAAGAATACATTGTGAATACCTGATAAGTGTTTGAGCGTGGTATTATTATTATAAAACCGCCTTAAATAAATAAAAAAAAAAAAACAATATGACCATGAGCATTTCACACCGGGTCTTCTTGTAGTCTTGCAAGGAACACCAAAGGTGGCGAAACAAAATCATCTTCGCTCTTGCAACTATGCGAGACACCAGGTTGAGACTGAGATTCCTTTGACTTATTACCTGTAACAACCAGGCAACCAACTAAAATAAAAAAAAAAAATTAATAATAAAAAACTGCACAAATCAGTATATAAAAAAGTGCACACACTTCACCCCAATCATGCACACTACTATTAAATACATGCACTATGTGAGCACAATATGAGACAAATAATGCGTAGAGAAACCATAAACAAAATGACTCATAACATCCAATCTGCAAACACCAAACACATAGTCCGTTGTTAATTTGCCACATAGCTAAGCAGTGCACACACATAACTGTAATGCAATGCACACGACCAAAACCATTCAATACCATGGCTTTCATCGGGCTAAAAAACCACATCCCTTCACCACAATCATGCACACAACTTTCAAATACATGCACTATTAGTAGTTTAGTACCACAAATCACACATTGTTCTAACATGCACATATAACAATGAATAGGTGCACAAACATACTTAATTAAAATCATCATGTGAGTAATTTATTCATTGAAAATTACAGGAATGCACAGTCTAACGCCTTGCAGGCGTATTAATATGATTTAGTGAGTGCATACTGTTTGGGAAGAATTTATGGGGTCTATCTGTTTTAATCTCTGCAAGTGATTACTTGAGTTTGGATCAAAGACACTGTCAATGTATTTGTAAACTTGAGCAAAATCTGGCATTGCTGCATCAAAACAGGGAGGAAAACAAATATATTTAGAACCTTGGTGTTTGAAAATTCACCTTACAATATATAGACTAAAAAGAAAACAAAAATCCCACTACTATGCAAAATTGTTCTAAAATTACATACTAAGGATAAATGAGAGAAGATAGCCAGAATAATCATGTTATCAACAAAGATGGAAAACAGTGATTATTCACAAATGGTGAAAAGATTAAAAGAGATTATCAACTAAATTCAATATACACTATCAGCCTCTATTATATGCATGATGCATCTAAATACACCATACTATGAAACTTCCAATAAAGACCCAAATACAAGCCAAAACAACAAGGGAAACAAGCCAGAAGAAAAATATCAAAAAAAAAAAAAAAAAAACAGAAATAATCAACTCCAAATTCAGCGTACTAAATAAAACACCAAGAATTAATCATATTTAAGAGAATAAGAATGAACCACATTAACACCGTTCAAAACCCTAAACGAACAAAAGCCAATTTCAATAAATTTCTGGCCAAGTCCGCTACTGATGAACAATGTGAATCGAACGGCGTGTGGGAAAGTCTTTGGCAGACGTACGATAGAGGGAGAGAGACCGGGAAAGACGACAATTTTGATGCTGATTGAATTTCCCTAGAATTTGATCCGATTAAAATAATACTAAAAATCCAAAATTACCCCCCTAACATAAAAACAAGCGCATGGTTAATTAAAACTCCATAAAAAAATTAAATCAATCCTATCCATCCAATCTCAAAATCAAACGATCCTAATCAATTTACACGTTTGTATTTTAAGGGCGGTTTGTATTTGAATATAATCCTATATATATATATATATATATATATATATATATATATATATATATATATATATATATATATATATATATATATATATATATATATATATATATATATAGAAGAGCGCTCATATGCGGCGGGGTCTTACCGTGCGGCGGTGCGGCGAAATTCTAGAATACATCAACAGTGTTAACAATATGCACCAACAGTGTAATAAAAACACACCACAATGAAATGCAATAAAACATCACAAAATACACAACAGACTCAAAAAAATACACCATATAACTCACCACCCCCAATGGTGTATTTTCGAACAGTGTATGGTGTTTTTACTCACACCTAATGGTGTGTGTTTGGTGATGCAGGGCTCTGTTTACTCTGTTTTGTGTGGTGTATTTTCCTAACGTTGATGGTGCATATTTGTTGAACTATTGGTGTTGCCGCACCGTAAGAAATCACCGCACCTGAACTCGCCTTTATTTATATATATATATATATATATATATTAATGATACCATTACATTATATTAAATTATTCTATAGAGAATATAATATTATAACTTTTGTAATATATTTGTGTCATTTACATAACAAAGTATATATAAGATGTGTTATATATGTTCATTTCAGTAGGTGTATGAAAATTTAGAATTTTAATCTTAAATTTACAATAACAACAATAATAATAAATTATGAACACCCAATAACACAGAAGTATAAAATCTATTACTTGCACCTGGAGCTTGAATATCTATCGCTTTTCATTACATATTTCACTCCTTTACACCAGAAGCAAATGCCTGACTATGTTATACAAACCTTCCCAAAGGAGAAAACGCCATTTTTTGTCTGCTACAATTATCTCAGCTCGTTATGTTTTTACTTGCATTCTTTAACATCCTAACCAGCTGAGATAATTCAATTTACATTATTTGGTAGGCACTTGGCAGGAATAGAATTGCTAGGAATTGAGAGGGAAGAAGTGAATAGAGACTAAAATGCCCTTGTATAATATTAATAAGGGAAAAATAGTAATATCAATTACTCAACTACCATAAGAATGGAAAAAAGAATTAAAAACAGTTAACACCCGACAGAGAAATGAAATTCAGATTGTAAAGGTGTGTAGAAGAGTTTTCATATTCCCAACAAGCAATAATCTCTTACCAGAAATTGTATGACACTAAAAGGCAAATCGACTTCCTCTACCATCAAGAAACTGGTCAGTATGCCACCCTTTGGCCTGCAGCTCAGATAGAAACGGACAGAATACATCATTCATCTTCTCGTAAGCCTCTTGCAGGACATTTTCCCTCGACCCATGAAAAGATTTCTCCATAGCTGAAGCATATGCAGCAACCAGCCATCCCCTCAGTGCATCTTCACCACTAGCATTGTGCTCTAGTATCATGTCAGTACATCTAGGTCCGGGGCATAAGACAAATTTTTCTTCGGGGAAAACTTCTTTAAAGCGGTGTAGGTGTGATGGTCGAACAACACTACTCAGAGCTCTTCCCACCTTAACGTTTCCAGCCTCCTCTATTATTCGTCCAGGAAATAAGAGATCTTCTTGATATCTCAAGTCAGCTGGGCTAGATATTTTTCCTGTCTGGTTAAGTTTAGGTTAAATTAGTAGACAAAAAGTGAAGATATACATCTCAGGGAAATTACAATTTTCGTCCATAAGTTCTCGGATAATTGTTATTTTTGTCCTTACTTCTTGACCATGCTCGTATTTTTTCCTTAAGCTTTTATCCAAGTTGCTCTTTCCGTCCCTAGTTCTTGGATAATTATTATTTTCGTCCCTAATTTTTGCACAATGCCTTCTACAGTTCTACCAAGATTCTTTTTACTCCCAGACATTTTAATTGGGTGCAATTCTCCACATCTGCATCGTGAATCTTTAATCTAAAAATTTGAGGACAAAGTAGTTGAATTCCCTGAACTGTTAAATATTCGGGAATTCAACTGCTCTGTCCTCAAATTTTCATATTAAAGGAGTGTAAATTGTCAGGGAATTTTGCTGCTTCATCTTCAAATTTTTAAATTAACGATTCGCGATGCAAATGTGGAGAGTTGCAACCAATTAAAATGTCTTATAGAGTGAATAGAATCTTGGTAGAATGTATTGCCCAATAATTATGGACGGAAATAACAAATACCAAAGAATTAGGGACAAAAAAGAGTAACCTGGATAAAAGCTTAAGGATGAAATGCGAACAATAGCAAGAACTAGGGACAGAAATAATAATTATCTAATAACTTAACGATGAAAATTGCAATTCTCCCTACATCTCAACATCTCTGACATGAGTATGTACCTTCACAAATGTTTTCACAATCAATGCAGTACGCTGTGGGTTTAACGTGTTGACGGGAGTAGCTTTCATTTCTTCTGTAACACTGTAGATATGTACAGCAGCAAGTAAAGGTCCAACAACCATCTGCATAATACGATAAAGCAGTTCACATCTGATTTTCAGAAAAACTAATGCCGCAAAAAGAATCCTACTAGATATGTGTTTGACCAACAATAGAAATAGGAAGAAACCCATAAAAAAAAAGGGGATTTTCTTAATGCTGTGGAGGGATCATTGTACCTTTCCTTGCATTGATGAACAAATAGTAGACGCTAACTGAATTCCAGCCCCAATTCCAAGAACATTAAAAAGTGTGGATATGGCTTCACCTTTTGCAAAAAGGTCACTAAGGTTGCCTTCTTTGGCAAATGATGAATATATTGGTAACCTTGTTGCTCTTGCTGCAACAACTGCCATTCCCTGGCAATACAAAAACAAAGAACAGAAGAATCTTTAAATACCGAATGCAAGTAACAAATCCACAAAATTGAAGAGAAATTAACATAAATTTTCAATGGTTATGGCAATACAAGAACCCTTAGACAGCAAGAACAAAAGAGAAAAGTTAATGAGACGCTTTACAGCCAACACTCTCTATCATTGTCTTCCAGCAGCTCAGAGAAGTTAAAATCACAAATTTTAGAAACAAAAAAAAAAATGGAGTTATCCCCTTAGAGCAGTAAATGCATTTGTCATTACCTTTGCAAAATTGCCAAGGCCAGCCATCTCAAGAAACAGGTGAGGACACAAAGGAGATAAAACTTCTAAACCAGTGCCGAGGTCATAAAGAACATCAGCTGCAAGGTAGAAAGTGTATTTCATGTCAGAATCTTGATAAATGACATTGAAACACAACATATCAAATCAAATTATGAAGTATCAGGAAAAATTAAAATTTGAAACGCAATGAAAAATCAATAAAGCAAAGTATGGAAGACTAGATTAAAGATGCAAACCTAAAATTCGCCAACTTTTAGGCTCAGAGTCCATTCTTGCACCTAAGTTGCTACATATAATCTTTCCCACATGCTGCATCCCATCTTTTAGTATCTGCATATGCAAATATGGCTCAACAGTGTCAGAGAGAAGCACCTTCAGGAGTTTATTTGATTAGTTTTTCGAAGATATTTCGCATTAGGATCTTACCCAGCTCACCGCAGTTGCTTGTGCAGGGGTAGGTCTTAAGCCTGCAGCAAATAGTAAGGACTGCAGTGAAGTGAGATTTCAGAGAAAAATCATTGCAATGGTGGAGAGTGTCGGGAAGTAAAGGTCACAAAGATGTTCAAAAGCACTCCACAAAAACTATAATTGTTATGCAAAATTTTAACTCATAGTTAGAAGAAGACCTGAGTTGACAGTACAGATAATGCTGCACTAGAGAAGTGTTGCAATGCTCGAAACTGTGTGTATCTAAGATAGCCCTCATTCACACTGCAGCATACGAGAAGCATAACTACAATGAACCAAAAACATTGAAGAATTTTGCAGAAGTATGAACGTATTTGGCTAATAGAATCACCAGTAGAACTCACCTATATGGGTACCCTGACGGGAAAAATTTGTTTACAAAAGATTCAACAATTCTCTGTGCAACAGGTCTCGAGTCATCAACTATCTTTACCTGCACAAGTGTAACTTTTACTTCAACCATTTCCCCTGGTCACTTTGAGCATTCATTGAGATTCAAGAATACACTATATAATAATGGTTCCAAGCAACACGTGGACCGTAGTAGATATTTGAACCCATGACCTTTGGTTTGTCTGATACTAAATTGAAACATGTGCTCCATCTCAAAGCCTAAGCTGATAGTTAGATTGCTTATATGCTCAACAATTCCTAGAAACAAAGGGCGCATTTGCCTTTAAACAGAACCCACCTATTGGGCATTGCAGATGTTATCTGAAATAATCAAATTGTTTACTCTAGGGACTATAGATATTTAGAGAACTCAGAATGCTATTCCTAACATGCTTGAATTCGTTAAAAATAAATCAAATTAAATTATTCACTCCACTCTGACTTCAATTTTCCTCCTAATTACATATAGCAAGTGACATTATTCACAAAATTGAAAAATCTAAAGTGGATTTTCTTCACTAGAATCAAGTAAACTAGAAGAGTATAGGAAGAGGCTTACAGATAGTTGACCATCGGGCTCGAACTGGAAGCAGCGAGCCACAGAGTTGGATGTCTCAATCCAAAATACAGAAGTTTCCGGCGGCGAAAGATTAGTACCCGCCGCTTCTTTCTTGGGCATCTTTAACTTCTCCTATAGATTGTTGCATCCAAGAAGGTCAGGCACCCAAATGAAAAGGCTAGCAAAGGCAGTGCTGTGAAAATTGAAAACCTTAGAAATGAAAGAAAAGATTGGAGGATAGAGTTACCAGTAAATTCATGTCGATAATTGCAAGAAGATAGAGTGAGTTTTGACTTTTGAGGGAGAAGGCGGGTGCAAAAGCAAGGAAAATGTAGCGAGTATTTTCAAAACTAAAAATTTGAAGGGCGAGGTTGGTTAACTTAACTCCAGTCTGCAACCAATCCTGATACCATGAACCAGGGTTTGTAGCACCTGGTTCATGTGTATTTGTTTTGTGTCGTAACTTTTTATATCTTGCATTATTTAATTTTGTACTTTAATATTATAAAAAATTTTATATGGAACAAATTAGTAATTGTGTTTTATGCATAAATTTTGTATCTTGTGAAATTTTGTGTTTGTAAACACAAATTATTACTTAAATCAGATTTGAAAAATAAGTAAATATATAACATGTGTATGTGTCTTGTGTTATGATTTTATGTCTTATGTTTATGAAATTATATTTTACGAGTATGAATTCTGTACCTCGTCTTTTCAATCCAGCTCGGTCCATAATGCTATACTATATGTCTTGTGTTGTATTTTTTGTGTTTTGTGTTATGAAATTTTATACCTTCCAAGTATGAATTATGTATGTTGTTTTAATTTAGGATCCATAATACTACGTGAACCTTGGTGCATGATATAAATTGTCGTCTGGAGCTCACTATTCTCGTCATATTATATTTTTTTCTTATAAATTATTTTTTAGAATAGTATGAACCTTATAAAAATAAATAAAAAGAATATGAGCCTATGAGGTCAAGGCCCATAAAGGAAGTAATAGTCGAGTTGTTGAAATAATTTTAGGTATTTTTCTGATTTTTGGTGGAGTTTGTGTTAGGCTTAATCCTTGATACATTAGGAATAATAAGTATAATCTTATCGAAACTCCTATGTCTGTCTCGTGCTGGCCAGCCTCTTTTTTGGGCTTCTTTGATCAAGTTATTTTTTTGGGTCAGTACATTTAATCAACTTAGTGTACCATCCATCATTTAGTCAGACGTTATGCCATGGAACCGTGTTCACCATTCATGGTGAACACGGTTCCAACGGTGTTAGTGCACCGTTATCTTCTTTTTTTTTTTTTTTTTTTTTTTTTTTTTTTTTTTTTTTTTAATTAATTACGTGACTGCCTACACATTCACTTTGGAACCATGAGATTATGAATTTTCTGTTATGAGATTATGAATTTTCTGTTATGAGATTATGAATTTTCAGTTATGAGATTATGAATTTTCTGTTATGCGATTATGAATTTTCTGTTATGAGATTATGAATTTTCATTACATTCATAATTTCGGAGTTTCGGACATTCATAAATTATGAATTCATGCATGCACATTCACTTTGGAACCATGCCTACATATTCCCGTCCGAAATCACGGACATTCATAAATTATGAATCCATGCCTGCACATTCACTTTGGAACCATGCCTACACATTCACTTTGGAACCATGAGATTATGAATTTTCTGTTATAAGATTGTGAATTTTCTGTTATGAGATTATGAATTTTCAGTTGTGAGATTATGAATTTTCTGTTATGCGATTATGAATTTTCTGTTATGAGATTATGAATTTTCATAAAATTCATAATCTTATAACAGAAAATTCATAATTTGATCAGTAACGCGCCGTTAACTCCACATTCGCGATTTTTTTTTTTTTTTTTTGCCTAAAAACGACGTCGTTTTGACTTGTGTTCACCATTCTCGGTGAACACGATTCCACGGCATAATTTGCGTCATTTAGTCCCTTACTTTCTTGAGATTTCGTGTAGTCGATGTTTCAAGAAAGTAGATTAACCTATAACTCATCAAAGACAAATAATTACCAATTAATTAGTCCGACCCATAAACCCCAGGCATGAGGTGGCCCACCGGTCTAAGTCCAAGGTACGAAAATACAACCGATCCTATAAGTACTACAAGAAGTTTAGACATGATGTGTCTGAATGCTTTAAATTGAAGAATAAATAAGAGAAGGAAGATAAAAGAAGTCTGTTAAAACTAGTGTTGTTGAAAGTGATTCAAAATGTGATGTTTTGGTATCTGTTAGCTCCAATGATAAATGAAACAAAACTAAGTGGATTCTAACTAGATTCTGATTGTACATTCCACATGTGTCCTCACAAAGATTGGTTAGTCTCTCTTGAACTGGATGATGGTGGAATTGCCTTGATAGGCACTGATACTTAGTGCAAGGTTAGTTGATTTGGAAGTGTCTAGATTTAAACTCATGACAACATTGTCAAAACTCTTACCAATGTTCGGTATATTCCTAATTTGAAACAACACTTAATATCCTTGGACACCTTGAAATCTTTAGGGTGTAAGTACACATCTGAAAGTGGAGTTCTTAATGTGATTAATGGTTCTATTGTTATAATGAAAGCTTCTCGTTCTGAAGCTTGCATGTTCTACATGGATATACTATAACAGGATTATTAGCAATGTTCTCATAAGTGGTTGATGTTGAACTCACTCAATTATGGCATATTTGTTTGGGGTATATGAGTGAGAAGGGCATGCATATCCTTAGCACAAAAGGGCTCATAGCTGATTCAAGTAAGGGTAAATTTGAATTTTATTAGCATTGTGTTTCTAGGAAACAAAAAAGAGTCAATTTCTCTACTACTACACATAGTGTCAAAGATGTATTGGAATATATACATTCTGATTTATAGGGACCAACTAATGTCCAATTTCTAAGAGTTGTTGATATTAAGTGGAAAATACTTGATGAGGTTTAGTTAGAGAAAAATGCTAAGAAACTCAAGACATATAATGGCTTGGAGTTTTATGAGTCAGATTCAACAAGTTTTGTGCAACTAATGGAATTGCCATGCACAAGACATTTCTAGGTAAACCCCAGTAAAATGTTGTTACTGAATGTATGAACATGACTCTATTGGAAATAGATTGTTGTATGCTGTCTAATGATAGGTTATGGAAACATGGTGATTTTTTGACCGATGTTATTTCTACTACATGTTATTTGGTGAACAAATGTCCGAATTCATCTCTTGATTTCAAAACTTTGGATGAGGTTTGGTAAGTTAATTTAATCTTGTTGATTACTTTATCCTGAAAGTTTTTAGATGTCCTACATATGCTCATTCAAGTACAAGTAAATTAAACCCTAGAGATATCAAATGTAATTTTCTTGGTTATGCCTCTGAATCAAAATGGTATCACATATGGTTTCCTCATTCTCAAAAAATCATTCTAAATTGAGATATCATTTTTGACAAAAATATATACATTACTTTCTTCTAGAAAAGATTCTTGGTGGTCCTGATTAAAAGATGGGTAAAAGTCTAGAGAAGGGAATGCATGGGCTATTTTGTTGTTTTTTATAGCAAGTGATGGCTATCAAAGATTTCAGTGGATTGACACAAATGTTTCTAAGCATGCAACAAATTAATTCATGGGTTGCTCAAAAGGCTAGACAAACATGTATGAAGTTGAAATTCAGAGGTTGGAATGTGAGTTCAAGGAGAATGATGCTGAGAGTGAAATGAAGACTTTACAAAATTTAAAGCTTGAATTTCTGTTGGGAAATCAATCATAGAAAAGGAATTTTTTTTGGTATGGTGTTGCCTTTGGAATGTTGGGAACATTAGTTATAATGTATATGTGGATGATCAAGTCATTCAAAAATGAATGTTTTAGTCCATTCCTTTTATAGTTAGCTTAGCTTGATGAATTTTATTGTAGTTATCCTTTATGCTTTCAAAAGTTCATGTCTTGTTATAAAGTGTATGTCAGGGACGGAAATTGTAACATTTACGAAAAGTAAACATGGTCAACAAATAGGAACGAACATTACAATTACCTCATAATTTAAAGAAGAAGAAATTCCTATCATGGATTTGTGTTTTGACAAGAGTGCTCTCAAATTTGACTACAATTATTAAATGGAGAGGTAACATCTATCAAGGACAAAAATTACAACATCCATAATAAGATCATAGGAACGAAAAATGAATCCAATCAACAAGTAAGGACATCATTACAATTACCTATACTAATAACTTTTTTTTTTTTTTTTTTTGAAAAACAATTACCTAATAACTTAAGGATGAAAAATACAATTTTCCTTATTTGTTAATATTAATATATAATAAATTCTTGATAAGTTTTACAAATGAGTTAATTTCATATTTAGTCATTTGACTATCACTCATTTCTAATTTTAGTCATTGACTTTTAAATCTATCAAATTTAATCCTATTGTATTGATCCTTTTCAATTGTAATCCATCGTAAGTTTTCCATGTGTGAATGGTTAACATTGAAGTCGGGTGAAATTAGGACTACTAGAATAAGAAAATTAAGGCTTTGTTTTCCGCTTGTGAGAAACAATTAGCACAATAATCATGACATTCTAATTTTATCCTCAATGTTAACGATTCACATATTGAAAAAATTTAATGGTAAATTATAATTGAAAATGATTCAATACTTAAAGACTAAATTTAATACCTTTAAAAGTCAATGACTAAAAATTAGAAATGAGATATGATAATAGGGTATAAAAGTAGTGGTCATCCAAATGCCACATATGATTAGTATAGGATGCAAACATAATTAAGTTAATTTTAAATTAGAAAAAAGTGCAATTTTGACCTTTCAATATTTCTTAGTTGTTTTAGACCTTGACTATTATGGGTAATGTCATCATCAATATAATTATAATTTTGGTCCTTCTACTAGTGGTTTGAAGAAATTTTATTAATTAATTATGTGGAGAAAGCATGTACACCAAGTGCTGAAATTGTAATGATATACATGTTTTTTTCAATCTTAATGGGTCGGAGTTTCTTCAAATTATATTGTTATTAGAAGGGCCAAAATTGCACTGATTTAAAATAAATGAGGTAAACATATTTGTTTACCTATAATAATTTGAAGTTTTCCTTTCATATAATAATTTGAAGTTAAAATGATGAAATGCTAATGATTGAAGGGTCACCATTTCAAATTTTTAATTTTTCTCTTTACCTTATTTTATATGACTTCTTTATTATTTATTAGTTAAATTATCTCTTCCTTCTTCACTTATGTTCTTTAATATTTTTTAATAAATTTTAAATTTGACATTTTGTGTTTTTTTTTTAGTACTATTTACTCTGTTACAATGTAGTATATGTTCATACATACTTTCTCAATCTATTGAAGCACAAAGAATCAATTGGGTTCGAACTTGTGATCTCCCATGTGAAAGAGTCATAATTATACCGCTTAACATTTTGTGTTTAATAGTATATTTAATATAATACCTAAATATAAATTTTATATATTAATACTAAATTAAATATTAATTAAGAAAAATAAAATCACAAGTAACTTGGATACAATCTCATTAATTGAAAAAAAAAAAGAGAGGAAGGAATGGAGCGAGTATAAAAATATAAAGCAAAAACTTGTGTGAGACAATTTCACAGGTCTCAATTTGTGTGACGGGTTAAATCTTTGATTATGAGGTCAAAGATCCGATTTGTCTTACAGATTAAAACTCATAAGACGATCTCACACAAGTGTTACTCAAAGTATACACGCTTAAAGCATCCAATTGGCAATAGTTAGTCATTAGAATTTGCAAGTTGAGTAGGGACTCCACATTTATTGTTCAAATTCTATGTGTTCACATGTTTCACATGGCGGGATAGATGTGTATAAATAGACTGAAGGATCAAATTGGACCATTAATTTAAATATGCTTTGAACAATCAACAATGACAACTCACATATCAAAAATTAAAAATAAAAAAACCAACATATATGGACCACTCAATAAAAGGCGGCGGAACTTTCTGGAGAGAGAATGGCACAATGGCGAAAATATAAAATATTTGGATAATTAATATATAATTCTACTTAGGAAAATTTAACAATTTTAATTTTAAATATTTTGCCAACTATCATATAGTGTGATGATATCGCTATTTTATTTCGCATTGTATGTTAATAATGTGTATAAATGAACATACTTATGTAATACAATTTTTAAATTGGTAAGTACTGCAATAATTATAATTTAATCATATTTTCAACTTTTGATATTACAAATATAATGGCATTTTGATTTTAGTTATACTTCTGTTTCACTTTCAGTATCCGACCAAGTGAATTTCTCATATATTGTTGAATGTTGATTGAATTAAAGAAAAACATTTCCTGAATATTGATATTGTGGAATTATTAGTCACGTGCAGGTTGGAATTTACATGTTTCATGTATAAAGCATGGGGACCATAAATTCAATGTAGGTAAGAATATATTCAGATAAAGAATGATGTCATTATATATATGTATATATATATATATATATATATATATATATATATATATATATATATGTATATATATATATATATATATATATATATATATATATATATATATATATAGGGTCAGGTTCCTGTGAGGTCAGGTCTTCCCGTGCGGTCAGTGCGGTATACACCATTAGATATGCATAAATGCACCACACAGTGTTCGTAAATACACCATTATGTGTGGTGTATTTTTTTTTTTTTTTGTGTGGTGTATTTTTTGGCATTTCATTATGGTGTATTTTTGAACACTGTATGGTGCATTTATGTATATCTAATGGTGTATGCCGCACTGACCGCATGGGAAGACATGACCTCATAGGAACCAATATATATATATATATATATATATATATATATATATATATATATATATAATATAATATAATATAATGTAAGGATAGAGATAATAATTGTAACAGTAGTTGCTCATCAAAATAATAATTATAATAATAATTAAGGTTGAAAAAATCGCTAGGCGCCTGGGGACCGCCTAGGTGGCCTAGCGCCTAGGCACCGATTAATCAACGCCTAGGCCCGATTTTTACAACACTGACAATAATTACTTACCAAACCATTTGGTTTTATTATAATTAAGATAAAAATGAGAATCCAAATTCAACTATTAAACATGATTGCTAATTTTATAGGATCAGCCTTGGATGCGGGCATGCGGCATGGGAGAGGGTGCAAGATCTCCCTCTACCCTACATTTAATGCAACTTTTTTTTTTCTTTTTTTCGTTAATTTTGCCCATAAAAGAATAAATTTCTTACTTTTAAGGATTCACATCTTAACCCTACAAGATTATGGAGCGGTAAATTACCGTGACAAAAAATTAGATCTTGAGGATGATTAATTTTATCTAGGCATAGACAACAAGGGTGGACTATTATTTAATTTACCCCGGCCCACGTTATGACTATTTGTGGAAGTAATTGACCGGTCAAATTAAGCACACTCGTGAAAGTTGATGTTGGATGGTTGAAGTCAAGGCCAAGAATGTTCGGTAAAATAAGATGTCTACAAAAAAGAAACACTGGTGGGTGGCTGGTATAGTTCTTGATGTCCACGTCCATCCACTCAATCCAAATGCATGCATATTTGTCTTTTTCTTTTTATTATTTCATATATATATATATATATATATATATATATATATATATATATATATATATATATATATATATATATATATATATATATATATATATATATATATATATATATGCATGCACGCTTATATTAATCCCTTAAGTGCCCTGGAACTTTTCTTCCAGATTGAATTCATTCCTGGCATGCTAACCGCCAAAGGCGACCCTCTTTATCATATCTATATCTATATATATTAATATTCATATTTATATATAGTCAGCATCATCGTACTTAGATAGATCGAGGCCGGGAATGCGAAAGCGATCAGGCAACGTGAAAATGGAGAACGAGGAGAGGGTAAGAAGAGAGAACAAATACAGAGGGATTCGAAGACGGCCGTGGGGGAAGTACGCGGCGGAGATACGCGATCCCAACCGGAACGGAGCTCGTCTTTGGCTTGGCACGTTCGACACGGCGGAGGACGCGGCGCGTGCGTACGATCGTGCGGCGTATGCGTTCAGGGGCCACCAGGCCATTCTTAACTTCCCCAACGATGGCCATTACGCTAGCGGTGGTAATGTAGTGGCGGCGGCTCCGGGACCAAGCTCCTCTGGGTCTTACTCCACGCCACCGCCGCCATCGTCCCCGCCGCCTTCTTCTTCTTCTTCAGTTTATGTGCCTTCATTCTCAACGTCCGAGGATAAGATTATTGAATTTGAGTACTTGGATAACAATCTGCTTGAGGATCTGCTTGGGTCACAAGTCAACAAAAGATCAAAGCGATGAAGCTTAGCTCAGTTCGTGTCAGCATGGACAGTTCAATTGATTGAGTCTGCTTAGTTCGTGTCAGCATGGGCAGTTCAATTGATTGCAGATTGAGTCTCATTAGTAAAAGGGTAGCAAATAAATTTACATTTGTTATTTATTAAGTTGAAACTAGCTAAGAGAATGTGGGTTTTGAAGTAGAATTATATTGTTTGATTTGTTTGGTCTATGTGTTTGCTTCTTATTGTGTTGTAAATTCCAAGCATGTATTAATACATGTGAAACTTTCAGTATTATGGCATTATTATCCCACAAGAACGTCTGTACCCATGCATGTATACATGCATGAAGTTTTCACTATTATATTCAATCATTTTACAATTTGGTTTTGCAATCTATAATATATTTTTATTGCAAAAAATTGTTAGATAATAATAAAGCTAACATAAACTGAAATAAACTAGTAACCTGACTCGTTACAGCGGAAGCTTTAGGACCTTTGAACATTCCTAGCCATAGTTGTGGAAATTGCCTCTGGAATGGTAAACCTGTAGAAAGTGTTTTGTCTACCACTTCTCTCCCGAATACGTGATGGTGCGTGTCCTGAACTCGGGAGCTGTGGGAGGACTATTTTGCTTAGAAGCCTACATGTCATCAACATAGGCAGATATTCAGTTAAAACTTAACTGAATATCCTGAGTTGCATAACAGATTAAGTCACTAATTGACTCAATCTCCTACTTGCACCACAGCCACCCAATAATACAATATATTATAATATATTGTATTTAGGGAAAATACTTACATTCTCCCACTTGGTGCAAGTACTGGCACAACCTTCATTAAAGAACAAAATACAAGAACCATAGTAATACGTCATCTACTAATCAAGTGAGTAATATCTACTATGATCACATGTATTTAAATTCTCTAACTTAGGTTCTTTATGAACAAACCCTACGTTTATTCTTAGTCCCTTAATGGATGTTTCTCAAAGTATATTATGTGCACAACTGAAGGAAGAAACCATCCAAATTCACTGTATGATCTCCAAAATCTTAGAAGCATGCCTTAAGTAGAGATCTCTTAATGTTAGTATAATGCTAACTATATTCTATGACTTGTTTATAAGTTAACATAAACACTACCTCTAACGGCTAAGAGCTTGGAGTTGACACGTCTGTCACTCCCACTCATTAAGATAGCCCAAAAGATAGTCAAGTCACAGAAACATTCCAATGACATAAACCATAAGGTCTAAGTCAATAATTTGGAATCTTAAACATACACCAACTTCCCAAATAATCTCAAGGTCCCCCTCGAAATTAATTGAACATTACGAGTCTTACTTATAGGTCTTGCAAAATTGTTTTGAGCCTTACAAACCAAAAATGGCCCAGGATCAATTTTGAAGAAACTAAAGACTCTGTTAATTGCTAAAGAATTTATTAATTGGCAGTGCACCACAAGTTAAATGATTTCGTTCTAATAAATTCATTAATATTGTTACAACATTTTCATAAATATGTTGTACAACCAAACATTCAATGAAATGAACTTATGAATTATAAGAACAAAAATTAATTAATACTTGTGGAAACTTTTGGACTTATTGTTGGACGCACAACCCAATTTGGAATGTATGAAAACAACTAAATCCATCAGCTTTAGTGGAGTATCTTAATAATCTTTTCTAAATAATCACTCCCACTGATTAAGATATTCTTTAGCCAAATTAATGATATAACACTCATAATTGATTTGACCAACTAAATAATGAAGATATAATTCTCCACCATTAGTTGGGCATACTAAATAATCAATATTTGGTTCTAATTATAGTCCAACTAAATGAATAATTAATGAGGACATGATTCTCCACCATAGTTGGACATACTAAAATAATAAAATACGCCTTCCAAAACGAAGTTGGAATTCGGCTAAGAAGATATATTTTATTATTGGAATCCATAAGAGGTATATCATACCACGCAACTTACTATAGTTAGTCCAAATAACCAAGTAAGCTTCGTGAAAAATAATTAAATAAAAGGTGTATCTAAATTTTGGGAAGTGACTAAATACATGTTTTGTCAATGCAAACCACGAAACTTAGAATTATAATTGAACTAAATTTATAAATTCTAAGAAATTGAGATAAAGTTATTATCTAATGGGTTGATGAATTTATTGACATAAAACTTGCCTGTGGGCTAAAGTTTTAATTCTATTAAATTCAATTAAACACTTATGATAGTATTTTATCTCAATTACTAAATAGTTAGAAGAATCTAGTGACATAAAGCTTGCCTGTGGGCTAAAGCTCTACTCAATTAGACCCAACTGAAATTTTATGATGAAATAATTAGCAAATGAGTTGAAGAATCAAGTGACATAAAACTTGCCTGTGGGCTGAAGTTTTAATTCAATTAGATTCATTACAACCATTATGACAAAAAAACTTAAGAGATCATGTTCCTTATCTTAATCCCTGTGGGCAAATTAAGATATATGACCTAAAGTTTACATCATAAAATTAAGCTTCATGATAGAGATGAGAATTATTCATAAAGTAAGTAAAATTCTTTATTTCTATCATTACTGATAAAACTACTAAACTACATTCCGATACATAATTGCCTGTGGGCTAAATTATGATCATAGTTCAGTATTTCATCCTAATTAATCATACAAATATAACGAAATTGCCTGTGGGCTAAATTCCATCATATTACATACAATTAATCACAATTGATATGTCTAAAACTTTATATGACCCTAACATCTCAATATATAATTTTAACTGATTAAGGATGCTGTGGCTACTCCCCAACTAATTAAAATTATAAGATCACTAGACATTTATCAAATTTTATGTGACCCAACAACTCAATATATAATTTTAACTGATTATGGATGCTGTGGCTACTCCCCAACTAATTAAAATTATAGGACCACTAGGCATTTATCATTGCCATCTTTATGTGATTTGAACTTTAGACAATTTTTAGTAAATTAAAGATGCTGTGGCTACTCTTTAATTAATCTAAAAATTGTAATCACTTGGCAAAAGGGGAAGTTAAAGCCTAACAAACAAATTAAACCAACACATGATATACAATTATTAGGTATACTCCCAGGAAAGTTGGTCGAGACGAAGCTCGGTTAAATACCAACTCCTTAGACAGAGTAGCGTCGCAAGGGGACTAGTAGCAACAAGGCTTTTAAGCCAGGGCCATAGAACTAGTATTCCTCCCCAAGAAACTTCCCTAAGTCATGTGTTGTCATGTTTGAAGTAAAATCGTTTGGGAGATCTATACAATTGTAGATTCACTTATGGATAAGGCTTTAAATTGATGAACTAAATTAGCGGACTAAACGTGCTTAAATTCAGGCACTACCGCAGCTAAAGTTTTATGCATAGGTCCAACTTAATAAGGAACTAATATAATTCTATCCTAAAGTATGCATTTCTAAAGGCATAATAAAATTGCATAATTAAAAAAAATAGAATATTATGCCGTGGACAAGTATGCATAAAATCAAACATTAAACTCATATATTCTAAATAAATTGCATAAACCAAAACAATTTTAAATATGAGCAATAACCTCAAAGTATACAATTAATATTCAAAACTAGTATGATTTCTAACCAAAAGAAATCCAAAATTTGAATAATAATGTAATAGATATATACTTGAAAGGTTAAAAACTATAAGCCCACGTGAAAAAGTTTTAATTGCATAAAATTAAATTTGTGAGAAACAGGCTGAATTCATAAATATCAAGCCATAGTATATGTTTTATTCGTAAATAAAATCTCACAAATTCTAATTGCATAATTAAACTTAACATTATACACTTAATGTGATTAAAAGCATAAAACAATTTAAAGAGTATGAAAAACACTAAATGTGTATTCAATTATTCATACTTAACTAAATGTGGGCAATGACATCTAAAATCATAATTCAAATACTAAATAAATTATGTGATAGATTGCCAAGAAAACATGTTTCTGAATTGATTAAAAAGCACACTCCAAAACTCAATTAATAGTATTATTAATGGCATAAAATTGCAAATAAACCAAAAAGCAATAAATAGCCATAATAATATTATTATGTTAATTTGGAGACTAAATATGAAAAAAACAATAGTTAAAACTGTTAAACTTTAAAATATTTTTGGATATAACTTTAAAATGTAATAAAACTTAAGTCCGAAAATAAATGTCACATAAATCAATTTGGAAACAATTCATGACTTAATACCATAAAAATAATGTTATCATTAATTAAAATATTAATAGTAATAAGGAGCATTATAATCACTATGAACATTTTAATAATGACAAACATGGTAATACATATCTTAATGTTTCCATATTCTTAAGGATAAAATGTGACTAGTTCAAAATGGTTAACAGCTATAACAGTAGTTACCAATAATAATAAACTGTAATTAATGATTTGCGTACCTTAATGATGCAAACTGCATCTATCAATAGCACTAACAGCGATAGCGAAGAAAAACCTCCAAAATCTCCCATCTTCACGGAGTGTTTAATTGAATCGCCCAATGGTACACAACAGTTTATTGGTAAGAAAATGAAGTGACATGGGTAATCTTACCAATGTACCAAATATAGTAGATTACCATGAATTAATAATTATTATGAAAGATAATAAATGAGATTAGCCCCTAAACTTAATAACATTAATTAATAATAATTGCAATAAATGTAAAACTGTAATTAAGGGATGCTAAATATTAATCTCAATTTACCACATAATAATTAATCAAGACTGTAATGAGTCGGAGACTAAAATTAAGTTATAACCAAATTACCAATAATGTAAAGGCAACATAACTATGTACATTGCTTACCATTAAGAAAACAGAATATTATTGTTAAGGCCCCGAAAACTATTAATAGATTAAAAAACATAATTAACTTAAATAATAGTTATAATTCTTAATGGCCAAAACAATAATTATAAGTCTTAATGACTTCAAATGGTAATTGTAATCCTTAGATACTTAATGAACTCAAAATCAGACAATGATAATAATTATAGCACAAAATTGCTTAAGTCAGTCCCATAAACCTTTGTCCCAAGTTAATTATAACATGAATGATAAATGCTCTAATATGGAAATAGATCCAAACATTATATTATCACCAACGATAAATACCGTTAACAAAATACGGTAGTTAGTAATAATTGAAGCTTAATAAACATGTTATAATCAAAATAAAAAAGAATGTGCTACAATTATTATTATTAAAATATCAATCAAATAATAGTAGGATCCATACTGACCAAGATAGGTCCTAAATAGCTTGTTCAAAATAGGTTTTAAAGTCCTAAGTGAAAATTAGGA